AATCTCTGATTAGAAAAGAAGTAGCATAGTGTGTTTTTTTCATTTTCTTTTTTCCATATTTTTATTGGTGAGTTATGTTATTCATAATGATGGGATTCAGATTCATTATTACATATTTGTACATGGACACCAGAAGCATAGTGTGTTGTTTCTTCATTACATTTGATGACCCAAGTTTCAATCATGTTCTTTTTCTTCCTAGGCACTCTCCCATTTTCGCACCGCCACCCCCCCCTTTTTTTTTGAGACAGAGTCTTACTATGTTGCCCAAACTGGCCTTGAACTCAAGATCCTTCAGCCTTAGCCCTAGAAGGTGGCATTATATGCATGCACCACCACTCCTGGCTTATTTTCCCAGTTTTGTATTAACTTTTCCACTCTTGAATTTCTCATGTACTTCCTTATTATTGGAGAAAGTTTTAAGAGATACAGGATGTTATAGCACCATTTTCAGACTTAAAATTTCATAGTAAGCTTCATGGGACTTATCACCAGGGCTTTCAGATAAATTCTCACAATTCCAAGCCATTCATCTTTTCTCTAAGGGAGTCTGTTTTATTACTAATTAAGGTATGGTAACTTTGTTTAAAACAAATTGATTTTTTGAAAAATTTATATAAAAGGTAAAAAAGGCTAAATATGTTATTCTAAGGACAACAACTTGAAGTCAGTTAATACCCAGAGCAACTGTTTCATTCTTCTGTGGTGACATAGTTTTATCTGCGCCTCTCCTCCCAGTTCACAACCTAAGAATTGAAAAACCTGGAGGCTGAAGGTGAAGAAAGAGCCCCTCTTGAGTGAAGGCGGGTCTTCTGAAACCAAGATCTTTTAGTACACATAAAAGTCATAAGCCCTTGTAACTCTTGTATAGCTTCTGATTAAAGATCATTTTTTGGATGGAATATGTGTATTTATGTGAAAGCTTGTACCTAAAATAAGTTTGAATAGAAGACCATATATTGTCTTTCAAAATTAAAACAGGAAAAATGATTTTTTTCATTATTGCTTTTCATTTTAATGATGGAAACTAGTGCTGTATAATGCATATTTTTCCAATATTATGCTTTAACACCCATTTAATAAGATGATTTATACATCCCATTTTAAAGTCAGGCTTTTAAATATCTTTTTAATATGTGTGTGTGTATATAAATTTTTTTTTTGGTTGTAGATGAACACAATGCCTTTATTTTATTTATTTTTATGTGGTACTGAGGATTGAACCCAGAGCTTCACACATGCCAGGCAAGTGCTCTACTACTGAGCTACAACCTCAGCCCCTTTTGTTATTACTAATTTGGGGAAGAATTTTGCAAGTTTTTTCAATTTAAACGTTGAATTAAAAATATAACCTTTTGATGGGTGTGGTGGCACATGCTTGTAATCCCAGTGACTCAAGAGGCTGAGAATGGAGATTCCAAGTTCAAGGCCAGTGTCACAAACTTAACCAGGCCCTCAGCAATTTAGTGAGACCTTGTTTCAAAATAAAAAAGGCTGGGGATGTAGCTCAGTTGTAAAGTGCCTCTGGGTTGCATCCCCAGTACCCAAGAAATTATACACACACACACACACACACACACACAAACACACACATTTTATAAACGTGACTGTTAATTTTAAATTTTGAAAAAAAAATCTACTACCCTGAAGATTAGATATAATTCTTCTTGGCTTATTTAGACATTTTAACTTTTTAATATTTTAAATCAACAATTGGATTTTAATGTGATACAGAATCAGACGATTTTATACAATTTTTGTTATGTTTGAATTCATTTTATGAATATATTGTAAAAATTATTCCACTGCAGTATTTATTAGAAAGTATTATTCTAGTTATCATTTATATAAGTTATTTTTAAATTATATTAAATGTAAAATCAAGAAAATAGTATTTGTTTTAATTTTCTGAGGGAAAAAAATTGACAACATTGAAAAAATGTGTTGCTGGGGATGTAGCTCAGTGTTAGAGCACTTGCCCCTTGGTTCAGTCCCCAGCACCACAAAAAATAAGAAGATGCCTCTGGGTCTCACAGCGAGAGCCTCTAGCCACCCCTGCTCCCACTCACCTGGCCTTCTGGGTGTTCAAATCCAGAGGATGTGGAGTAGAGAGAATCAGATATGAAACAACCCTTACAGTGTTAATTTCTGCTTTCTTAAGGACCCAGGGGGGTGTAACAGTAACGTAAAAATAATGTGTCCTTTAATTTGTATCTTAGGACATTTAGACTAAAATAATGTAGGCTTGTTATATCCATTTGTCAAAGTAGGAAATGGAGGCTCAGGAAAGTTGGGTAAGTTCCCTAGTCACAAGGCTAATAAGTGGTGGTTGGGAAGTCAGTCATTTAGGGTCCCTACAGCCCTGCCTCAGCACTCCCCATCTCCACCTCAGGCTAGGATGCCTGGGCCTGCTGCCTACCAGATAGCAGATTGGGTCTGTCCTCAGGCAAAGTTGTCCAGTAATATCATTGCCTCTTGTAAAACCTTGTCTCCATCCCCAACCCCACACCTGGCCTCTGGATCTCTCTGGTCCTCATTGTAACCTCTTCAACCTTGTATTGGCCTCTACTGGTCTACAAATCCTAGGAATTATCCTAACTTTGCTGGGTGGGGTGAAGGCCCTGGTTTCTTAAGTCCTGCCCATGTGGAAAGTGACTACATTTACTGGCAACCACATTGTGGAGGCCAAGGTGGTATGAGCACGGCTGTGTATGTCTGACAGAGTCAAAGTACTGGATACAGTGCAAGGTGTGCCATTTGTAATGTGCACCCCTCTATTATCACCATYCTTATGACCCTATTCTGCCTGCTGGTTTTCCTGGCCAGGACCAAGTGCACTACCTGTGTAGACAAGGACTTCAAGACCCACCTGGTGCTCATCTTTGGGATCAAATTTGTCATCTCTGGGGTCCTGATCCATTTTCTAGGATTTATACAGCCCCCTTGGTGACCAAGGCCCAAAAGTGAGAGCTGGGGACCTCTGCTGCTGTATAGAGGATTGCTGTGCTGTACTTACCCTTCTAGAGAGTCCCAGGGTTCCAACAACTACCTAGCTGGCTATTTAGCATCTCTCCTGTATTATCCCTCTGGGGAACCCTCTGAGTACCTCACCAAAAATTATATCTGATGTTGGGGGTGGAATGAGGGTTCCATTGGCTAGGGAGACTTGGTTCCGGAACTGGACCCATCAAGAGATGGTGATGCCTGACAACTTTGGGGTTCTGTTTTTTTTTAAATTTTTCTTTTTGGTACCAGGACTTGAACCCAGGGGCACTTAACATCCCCTTTATATATATGTGTGTGTGTGTGTATGTATTTGTAGATGGACATCATACCTTTATTCTATGTATTAATATGTGGTGCTGAGGATCAAACCCAGTGTTTCACACATGCTGGGCAAGCACTCTACCATTGAGCGACAACCCTAGCCCAACATCCCCTTTTTTCATATTTTATTTTGAGACAGGGTCTCTCTAAGTTGCTTAGGACCTCACTATGTTGCCGAGAGTGGCTTTGAATTCAGTGATCCTCTTGTCTCAGCCTCTGGGATTACAGGTGTGCGCCCCCACGCCTAGTACTTTTTGCTGTTTTTATGGGAGAGGAGGAGGTATCTTTTAAAATCTGTTTGATAACTGAAATGAAAATGATCTAGACTTTTACCTGGGCTCTGCTGTTAACATTTCTCATCTTTGAATGATGAAGCCAAAGAGATGATGCTTGAGTGTTTAGATCTTTTTTCACTGTTAGCATACCCATTTTGAGAACCAACCTGCAGCTCTGGAATCAATGTAGAGGCTGCTTGCTGCTCTGGCCTTTGTGACCACAGATGATCTGCAAGAGTCCTGCCGCTGMTGGGTGCTTGAGTTTCCTTAGACTTGCAGGGATAGCTATACCCCTTCCTGGCCAGGCTTCTCTCCTCATCCTCAGAAAGTTTCATAATACATTACCAAAGGACTGTCTACCCTGTCTTCTGACCACTGGCTCCTCTATCATTACCACATCTCCTCCCTGAGTCAGGTCCCAGCAGTGCCATAAACTCTCCACCCACACCTCTAATCCTGCACACTTTGCCTATGTCTGGCCCACATTCACACTCATGAGGTTTTACTAAATAAAACATGCTTTATTAATTAAAAAAAAAGATAACAATCTGGGATCACACGTTGCATTTAGTTGGGTATGTGTTTATTAGTGTGAAGGATGAAAAGTCCAAGCCTATCCAAAAAAGTTGCAATATTATTATTATTATTATTATTTTTTGGTGTTAAGATTTTTGAGATCGTTATATATCCTAGGATTAGTTCTCTATCTGATGTGCATATGGTAAAAAGGTGCTCCCAAGATGTAGGCTCTCTATTCACTTCACCAATTGTTTCTTTTTTTTTTTTATTGTTGGTCGTTCAAAACATTACATAGTTCTTAATACATCATATTTCACAGTTTGATTCAAGTGGGTGCAATAATATTATAATGAGTTGTAGTATGTCCTGTTCTCATACACTCTCTGAGTAAAATTCTTTTCTATGTTGAAACATTTCAGAATTAAGTTGAAGACATTCTGATCCTTTATCCTAAGTATGTGAGTGAACATTTATTTCTAATGAACAGGACATTCTTTTATAATAATCACATAATTGTTAAATTCAGGATATTTAACATTGTTACAATACTATGAATCTAACTTAAGAGCCATATTTGAATTTCACTGTCTCAACACTGTCCTGTATAGTGATTTTTTTCATGATCCAGGATTTAATCAAAGACCATGTTTTACATTTAGTTGTCAAGTCTCTTTAATTTCCTTTAATTTGGACTAGCTCCTTAGTCTGTCACTGCCATTTTTTAAGAGTCCAGGCCATTTTAATCTGCAGTCGTTGAGACCATTGTTTCTCAAAGTACTCTCTGTGAAGTTCCTATCTATATATGGTGTTTCAGAAAACTGGGGTCTGGTACATCAAGACCCCCCAGATACAGCTAAGTATAACCCCTCAAGAGGCACTATGGTTTTAAGGTAAGTGTCATTATTATATCTTGCAACCACATATGTCACAACCACATTGTCAACAAGAATATCCAGGCCCTCACAAAGGAAATTGCTGGGGACTATCCAAAGGGTAATAAACCAATCATAAATTGACAGAGATATCAAGGCAAGAACAAAGGATTCAGTTTCCTTAAAAACTCCAGCCTTGTGAGCACCACACTGTCTTTTCTTCAAGGCTGTGCAGTCTCTATGCTGTAGGTTACCCTCTCCTTTTATTGTCTCTCTTTTTTTTTTTGGTTGGGGGAGTCCTGGGGATTGAACTCAGGGGCACTCAACCACTGAGTCATAATCCCAGCCCTATTTTTTATTTTATTTAGAGACAGGGTCTCACTGAGTTGCTTAGTGCCTTGCTTTTGCTGAGACTGGATTTGAGCTCGTGATCCTACTGCCTCAGCCTCCTGAGCTGCTGGAATCCCAGGTGTGCACCACCACACCCAACTATAGTATACTTTTTAATCCTTATTTTAGAGTGTACTTTTTTACTTAAAAAGAATTACTGTGAAATATTACACTGGCGTAGTCTCATACAGCTGTGCTTATCATATCTCTTGATTCATAACTACTATTGAGTGATGGACCTATATCATTTAGGTTTGTGTAAGCATATAATATTTGCACAGGGATGAAATTGCCTAAATACAGTTCTCAGAACAAATTCCCATTGGTGAGTGACCCGATTCTACTCTGAGACTTCTAAAACATTGTCAAAAAAATTTAAGAAGATCTAGATAAACAAAGGGAAAAATATCCTGTCTTACTTCTGTCAGGTTGCTATCACAAGTGTCATAGATTGGGTAGCTTAAATAAATGTATTTCTCACAGTATTGAGGATGCTGTGAAGTCTAAAATGAAAGATGCTGACTGTTTCAGTTTCTCCCAAGAGCCCCATTCCTGCTTTGTAGGATACTTTCTTATATTTCTCCCCTGTCTTCTTATTTTATGAATCCCATTCAGAGGGTTCCACCCATATGACCCAATCACCCTCACCCCAAATGCCTTATCTTCAATTACTATCATCCTGGGAATTAGGCCTCAGCATATCAGTTTTGAGAAGATGCAAACATTCAATCCCTAGCACATCCCCAAAACTTAACGTTGTTAAGATGGCAGTTTCAGCGCAATTCTTATGAGAATCCAGTGGATATCACAGTAGAAATTAATTAGCTGATTCTGAATTTCATATTGAATTGCATGGGACTCAAAACAGCTGAAACAATCTTGAAAAAGAACAAAGTTGAAGGGGTCTTATGTAGATGAATAAGGGGCTATGGACTAAGTGCCTCTATATCAAGTCATCTTTTACTCATTCCCCAAAAGTATTTATTGCACGACTATATTTGAGAGTAACATGGATCTCTCATAACTAAGCACTTTATTGCCACAGGTTTTCTGGAATTGGAAATGGCAGAGCAGAAGTAGATAGTATGTCTGAGTGACAGTATCACCATCTTCTGCAAAATTCTTGGTTTTCCACACTTGGAAATCAAGATTATGGGTATCAACTGGTTTCATAAAAATTATATGTCTGAAGTAGGGGTCAAGATTTTGAGTTTTTTGGAGATCACCAAGAGGCTTTTTGACTTGGAACCATTCTGTCTCTGTGGAGGCTGAAAAGTAGGGATGCCTCACTACAGCTACCTGGGATCCAGCTGGGAGAAGCAGGACAATACCAATGCGAGGTACTTGTCATTCCTCAGAAGGCACAGGGAAGAGTCTGGCTACAAGTTGTGGTGGAGTACTTGAGGGAAGTGCCCTGTAGTTCTCATGGTGCTAGGGTTTGGATGGTAATGTATATGAGTGGAGCAGAGGGTTAGAACATGGGTCTAGCAGTCAAACAAACATGGGTTTGAGCCCTGGCTTCTAAAAACAGTTGGAGGGCTGGGGATGTGGCTCAATGGCACAATGCTTGCCTAGCATGTGCCAAGCCCTGGGTTAAATCCCCAATACTACAAAATACATACATAGGGTTGGACAACCTGAGCAAGTTATTAATCACTCTGAATTTCAATGTTCTTTTCTCTAAACAAAAGTAATAATACCTCCCTAAGAGGATTGTAGGTAAGAGTCTATGAAAAATGGAAGTGAAGTGTTTAACATAGTGCTTAGTCCATTGTAAGTGTTCAGTGTAAAATGTAGCTATAGTAATTGTTATTTAATTCACCTATTGTATGGACAGTCTGTCCTCCTGAAGAGGAGCTTCTGGTAAGTAGCTGGGAAAGGAGAGGTGCTAGGCTCTGGTTCCACAGGTCTGAATTCTATTCTAGCCATGCTTCCAAACTGAATGACAGGGCCCAGACCATTTAATGTCTTTGGACCCAAACTCTCCCATGTACAAAATGGGATGATAACTCATACCTGCCTCATAATAAGACAATGCTTGTGAAAATGTCTAGCTGAATGCCTGTTGAGAGGTAGGCAGGTTCCTAACCAAGACTCCTCCTCCTCCTCCTCCTCCTCCTCCTTCTTCTCCTCCTCCTCCTCCTCCTCCTCCTCCTTCTCTTCCTCTTCTTCCTCTTCTTCCTCCTCTTCCTCTTCTTCCTCCTCTTCCTCCTCTTCCTCTTCCTCTTCTTCCTCCTCTTCCTCTTCCCCCCCCCCCTTCTTCTTCTTCTTTTGCTTTGGTACTGGGAATTGAACCCAGGGCTGCTTAACCACTGAGCCACATCCCCAGCCCTTTTAAAAAAATATTTTATTAGAGACAAGGTTTTGCTAAGTTCCTAAGACTGGCTTTAAACTTGTGATCCTCCTGCCTCCACCTCCCAAGCCACTGGGATTGCAGGTGGGCGCCACCATGCCTGCCCTAGTCAGGACTTCTAACAACAGCCCCCAAACACTTCTTTTGAGTTCCATTTTTCTCTATTAGAAAATGATCTGATAATAAATATGTGAATGAACTTGGTGGACTTATTAGTTTGTTAAGGTCACTGACTGTGGGGCTCTAACGACAGATGTTTATTTTTCTCACAAATCTGGAGTCTAGAGGTCTGAGATCCAGGCGTCAGCAAGGCTTCTATCTTCTAAGGCCTCTCTTCTTTGGCCATCTTTTCTCTGTGTCTTTACATGGTCTTTCCTCTGTATATGTGTCTATGTCCTAATTTTCTCTTCACATAAGGACGCAAGTTATAATAAATTTGGGCCCACCCTAAATGACTTCATTTCAACTTAGTTACCTCTTGAAAGACCCTATCTCTAAATATAGTCACATTCAGAGATACCAGGAACCTAGGGGGTGCCATATGAATTTTAGGAGAACACAGTTCAGCCTATAACAGGGAGCAGCATCTTTGAGCCATCCATAATTGTACACAAACTTAGAATGTTTTGTACATATTAATTTTGGGATGTGGAAGGATAGTATTTAGAATCCATTTATTCTTCAATTGATAGAAAGGCTGAAACAGCAGTAGCTTTAAAAACAATTAATAGACTTGCAAGGCAGGACAGAAAGTTCTTGTAATATTCCCATCCTTGTATACCATTTCCCTATCGTTAACAGCTTGCATTGGTATGGTATATTTGATACAACTCATGAACCATTTTACTATTATTTTTTAATTAAAGTTTATAATTGACTCAGATTTCCTAGTTTTGTTTTTTTTTTTTAAATCTAATATCCTTTTACTGTTCCAGGATCCCATCTGGAATACCATGTTACTTTAAAAAATTTTTTTAATCTTTTATTTTTATTTATTTATTTTATGTGGTGCTGAGGATTAAACCCAGTGCTTCACATGTGCTAGGCAAGCACTCCACCACCGAGCCACAACCCCAGTCCACCATGTTACTTTTAATCATTGTGTCTCCTCAAGCTTCTCTTGGCTGTGATGATTTCTTGGACTTGCTTTGTTTTTGATGCCCTTGATGGTTTTGAGGAGTACTGGCCAAATATGTTGTAGGGTGCCACTCTGCTGGAATTTGTTGTTCTTCTCATAATTAGACTGAGGTTTAGTTTTGGGAAGATGATGACAGAGGTCAAGCACCATTTTTATCACATCAGGTCAAATCACATTAATGACTTTGTGACTTAGGTAAAGTCATCAAAGTCATTTGATTACCTAAGTGAAGTAGTATTTATCTGGTTTCTTCATTGTAAAATTCGTTTTTCTCCCTAGTTTCCTGATGTACTCTTTGAAAGGAAGTTGCTCTGGTGGCCACACCTACTGGGTAAATAAATAAATTATCATAATCTATTATGTAGATAATTTATTTATTTAATAGTAAATAAATAAATTATCTACATAATTTATTTGAAATTCTTCTTTGTAGGAGATGTGTCTCTTTTTCACCATTTAATAACTTATTCTATCGCTGTTTATATTAATAAGGATTCAAGGGTACTTATACATCAGGTTAGAATCTATTACTACTTTATTAATTTTGTTGCTTGAATTCTTCCAGCATTGGCCATTGTGAGCTCTTTCTGTTGGCTCTTGTTTCCTTGTGACATACCCCAATCAATGTGGGGTTCTGTTTTGTTTATTTTAAGCACCTTTTACTTTCTGATAGAGATGCTTCTTGTCTCATCTAGTATATTTCCTACCCTTCTCCTAGAATCAGCCAGTTTTCAAAAAGCCCTGGTTCCTATTATTGGAAAGTGATATTAGAAACCAAGATTTGGGTACTGGCTGTTCTTGTTTCTACTGGGGTGTCATTACTTCATGTTCTCTTAACTGACATTGAAGAAAGATATGCATGTACACTAATCTGTATGTACACATATGTATAACATGTATAAATATTTCCACTTGTTAGCATCTGTTTCTTGATAAAATTAGTTCTTACTAATGATGTCTCCCAGTACCCTCCATCTGCTTATTTATTTAACTCCTGTATTCATGTACAGCAGTATCAGTGTTGTTAACGTGAACTGCTGTGAGAAAGTCTTACCAATTAAAGTACTTACTTGCAACTCCTTTAGCCTTTAGTCTTACTCAGTTCATTTGCAAAGTTACTTTGTCAGCACCATTCTGCAATCTCCTGCTTCCTATATTTGCAATACAGTTAGGTTCACTTGTCAGTTTGCATTTTTTCTTGGGATTCTTGGAACTGCTAAATGTGTTTTTTTTTTTAACTTGCATACCTAAAGGTTCACTCTGCATTATATAGTTCTACAGATTTTGACAAATGCATCCATCATTATAGTATCATAGATTCACTACCCTAAATTATTCTATGATTCATCAATTTTTCCCTCCCACTGAGCCCTTTTCCTATCTCTATACTTTTGCCTTTTCCAGAATATATCTATATCTACTTATTTGGAATATATTCAGTGTTCCAGTATGTAGTCTTTTCAGGCTGACTTCATTCATTCAGCAGTTTATACTTAGAGTCCCTTTTTTTGTGTRTGTGTCTTTCCTTTTTGGAGGTACTGTGGACTGCATCCAGGGTGTTCCATCACTGAGCTATATCCCCAGTCCTTTTTATTCCTTTGTTTTTGGAGGGGCTGGGATTGAACCACACTTAGCAGCCATTTTACCACTAAGCAATATCTCCAGCCCCTCCTTCTGATTTTTAAATTTTGACACAGGGTTTCAGTAAGTTGCTCAGAGTTATCTTAAACTTGTTATCCTCTTGCCTCAGCCTCCTGAGTCCCTGGGATAATAGACATGCACCATGGTGCTTGGCTTCCTTCATGTCTTTTTTTTTTTTTTGGCCTTGGTTGCTTTGGGTTCCCCCACCCCAATCCCTGAATGGGAACAGTGTGTGCATTTGTAGTCCCAACTACTCAGAAGGCCAGATCCGTGAGTTTGAGGTCTATATAGGCCTGCCTGAGCCTAGCAATCCTGTGGAAAGTCAGAAATTGGGAGCATTTTGCCTGGGGGAACACAGATTAGAGAGGCTGGAGAGAGCTAAGCTCTGCCCAGCTCCTTGAGTCCTGAAGTGCCTGGGACAGATGGGACTGGCTACAGAGGGTTAGAAGGTTGGAAGAGGATGTGAGGACATCTTGCTCTGGCTTGCCCAGCCATCTGGTCTTGCACCCACTGGCTCCAAGGCCCACTTGGGCCAGCACTCACTGGGCCCCAGCACCAGTCTGGTCCCTGACTCCCTCCCAAGTCCATCATCCACTGATCCCCTGGTCCTGTTAGGTCTAGCACCCAACAGGGGGCCCTCTGGTTCCTCAATCCCCAGTCTCCCAATCTTGCCATAGCTACCAACCTGGCTCAGCATTCCCAGCACCTGGTCTTGATCCACCTAATATAGAACAGTGCTACATGACAGGCACATAGTTCCCAGCACTCAGCCCTCAGGATGGCCAGGGAGAGAAGTACRTGACTGGGAATTTGAAAGGGTGGGGGTGGAGGCTGGATAGATTGAGTTTGGAGACTAAATCATAGACCAGGAGTTGTGGGGTCCACAGTTGATGTAAGGGGCTAAGATCAGGCTCCTACATCACATGTGGAACCCAAAGAAGATTCCTGGGGTACAGCCTTCCAACATGGACTGACAATTGCTATACCTCTCCTTCAGGAGCTCCGCCTCCAGGACTAACCTTTCTACCCTAGCAACCCTCACCATCCTGAGGGTGGAGCTACCATCAAACTTCAGACAATACCACCTATAGGCTGRGAGGGGAAGCTGAGAAACTTTTGAACTCCAATAGAAACAACTGTTCAATTTTACATTGAGGTTTTCCTTTTCTTCTTTTCTCTCTCTCACATTTCTACTATTTTTTAAACTAAATATTTTTCATGCATCAGTTTATTTGCCTGCTMTCTAGAACAYTCTTAACA